CTTTTGTCGAGTCCGGGAATGTGCAGAACTTCCACCATGCAAATGCCTTTTCCGTTCAATCCAGTCAGTTTCACCCTACCAGCTCCTTTAACGAGCAACTTCTTTCCGTCTGCAATCGTAACTTCAATGATAGCTTCAAGGCCCTTGTAATCAAACAAGTCCTTCCTGTGTGGGGTCATGTTGGAAGCTTCCCCACTGTCAACCAACCATCCTGATGACTTTCCTTCACCAACAGCAAACACCATGTCGTCGCTGTCGGACCTCTTACTGACCGAGCAGTTCCGCTTCCTGTTCTCAAACTGGTCACAGTTAGAACACTTGCCCTGAATCCGCCATTATTGCGTGGAGGACCACTATTTGGTCCCGTCCACCTTTGGATCTTCTAGCGTTTACGTTTACGCGAAACACTTTCTCCGTAGCTTCCTTCCTTTGCAGATCCCCCGAGTCCTTGACCAGCTACATCAATCAACGTGATGTCCTTCGCATTCTTCACAATCGACGAAATTATTTCATACTCTGACGGCAAACTGCTGAGACGAGCCACCAGTTGACGTGACTCATCAACTCGCTCTCCCGTAGTCTGGAGTCGCACAACCAGCTCATCAAAAGAGTCCAGATGCTCTGCCATGCTTTTCTCACTTTCTATTTTGGACTCGTGCAGTTGACGAGTCATCACCACACCGTTGTGAAGAGTCGGGCGATAAAAGAAATCGCGGAAGGGTTCCCCATGCTTCCAAGGCGCGCGTAGCCGACCGAATCTTGGTCTGGTGATGGATCTCAACGCCTTGAGCGATGATGCCGAGCGCCTTTGCATTATTTGCCATTCAGGCCTCCGTGACCTCACTCTCTTCCTTGACGGCCATGATGTGCCACGGGAGACCCGCGCCAGGGTCATCCTCATGTTGAACTCCCAGTTATAGTAGTAACATTCCCTAGGAGGACTTCGGTTCGCTTGTTGGCCATAGTGAGCGAGGATGATGCATGTAGAGAAAGGCTTGATACGGCTGTTAACCTGTTGAGTAGAAGGTAAAGACCGAAGAGAATATATTTAGGTCCTTAGTTCGCTACTCTGTGCTACCTCTAAGCCTGTCTCTCTAGATCCTTCTAGAAGCTTCTATAGGCATCCTGATTTATCTAGACCCATTCTCGCCGACTATTATGTAATTACTTACTGTGACGTCCTCGTAACTGTCTGTTCAACATGCATTCAGCGGTGTAATCTCAACAACATTTGACGCAGGCCCTTAAATGAGAAGCTAGAAAAATTATTCGTTTGCCGTACTGATTTAAAAAACGCTGTGTGGGATGCTTTGACCTTCTAAGGGTCTGCACGAACGAACGTGGAAGTTCGGCCTGAAAGTTTTAAGTAATAATTTACTGACAATATTATAGAATTGATCTCTAATTTGATCTGAGATATGGCTTATAATAATGGAGCTCATTAAAACGAAAAACGAAGCCGGTCAAATATCTGCTTTTTATTGATGGACCTATAAACTGCGTCACCATTTTGACAAAGTGTATCTGACAGGGATGGTTGGGATTGCTGTAGCCTCCTGTGGAATAGAAATAGGCGATCGTAGGTTAAGCAAGACAAGATCGGCATGAGGGTATCCGGCGCTTGGTGAAGATGGTATCAAGATCTCAAATGATTTTTTATCAGCAATCTAAATGTTGTAAACGCAGCTGACGACGAAGACGATCTACAGCGCATACCGAAGATTAATTTAAATTATTTCATCGACGAACGCGGATGTTGAAAATCCAGAAATCGCAACGGATGAAGACTCCGCCAGACGTACCATAGGGCCACAACAGATGCTGAAGTGCGCTGAATTATAGCGAATGTGGTGCATCGGTTATATCACCAGTCCCATAATGATCAGTAGCTAATGAAAATTATTTCGAGAGCGGGTTACTACCTCCTAAACACAACAAATCCACTGCACAGGTCGATGCTTAATTAACGATCTTAATCATGTTGATGTGGAGTTTAAATTTAGAATTGTGTGATGAAAGGTTGTAGAATTGATGCCTTATGCGATGTAAATAGCCAACCATTTGAGTGAGCGCCAGCATTTGCTGCTCTCAAGAATCGTGTCCACTCGTGACAGCGAATCGTAAATTTTCCATTTTGCCTTTGACGCAACAATCCCAAGTGCAGCCAGTTTATGCAATGACCATATGTTGTGGTGTCATTTTTTCCTTTCACGCTTCCCCCGATGTATTTCTTCTCTGTATACGTACGGACCGCTACACCTAGACTGAAGTACTCAAAGTATTTATATGAATAGATGATTAATATTATTTTCTGATAGATTTTTGAACAAGGAGACACAGTTGTCATTGCATATTTCATGATAAAAACCATGCTTAATCGATATACGCTATGTGTCTTACTTTCTCGACTTCTTCGTGTGCACCCTGTTCGATGCCGATTATTTCTAAGTACCGAAAAAAAATCGTACGACTTATTCACCACAACAAAAACGTGACTAAGGTGATAAGGAGTCTCAATTATATTGTCATATATCTTCAATTGTCGAAACGTTGCAATCGACGCTAAAAATCATTTAAATATAATAGTCAGATTTGTTTAACTGGGTAGAAGAACGAATCGGAACAGCAAGCGACATATAAACGCAGACAGTGCTGGACATGAATATCTTACAGATACGATGATTCTAAGTGTCTTCTTGTTCACTGTTGTCGGCAACTTTTTTAGTTCCCTCGATAACTTTTTTCACGACATTAAGTCTTCGTAGTATTTGCAGTCGTCGTTTAATACAATAATGCAGCTAGTGATTTCTACAATTTGATGCCAATTTCTATCCACTAAAACTCTACTTTCCGAAAATTTAGCGAAACGATACTCTGTATCATTCATTTTCATTGCTTATGGTGTTTCGTCAGTTTAATAGTAGGGACTGCTGTTCGTATACGGTTTTGACCACATCGCGTCACCAGTTCTGACGTCATAAAAGTATGCTTCAACACTTTCATCACAAAAACTAGTATGCTATCATCGAGCATTATTTCCATCTCTTCTGGACGAATCCAAACACTTTGCCAAGTTTCTGTTTTCTAGACGTACACGTTTCCACTTGCTTCATTGAAATACTCAATTCATCTAGACTCACAAATCCTTCACATCTGTCAGCACAGTACAATGGTTCGACGTGGGTGTATCGCGCGATGTGAACTTTGAGATACACCGCTGATACACCGCTGAATGTGCGTGGATGACGTCACAAGTATTATGATAATGAAGCACAGGGGAGCAAACTAAGGACCTAAATTTTATACTTTGGTTTTTACCAACAATCCAACAGGCTAATAGCCGCACCAAGTAGTTTACCCAGCACCTTTCATCCTCACAGCTACGACGTCCAAGTGAACCGAAGTCCTCCTGGGCAGCGGAAACTACTTCCAATAGGAGTTTACACTAGCGCGGAAGGTAGTTGCTGGCGCACGTTCAAGTCGTCAAGAGGGGAGGGGATATGGCGGAAACCTGGCTGTTTAACGACACTAAGGCACTGGGGATCATCGCTCAGGGTCTCGAGCTGCACATTAAACCAAGATTCGGTCTGCGTCAACGGCTATGCTTGAAGCTTTTTACAAGTATTCTACAATTGTACCATGCTTCACAACCGTGTCGAGATGACGCGCCGCCTGCATGAGCTCAAGATGGAGAGCGGTTCGACTATGTCTAAGCATCTTGATGTGTTCGACAAACTTGTTGCTTCAGTCACTTGGAGAGCCTGTTGACGAATAGCGACAGCTAGTGATACTGCTGAGTAGCTTCCCGACAGATATGAGCTGATTGCGTCGATTGTGGAAAGTGTCAAGGACATCACGCTAATCGAGATCAGGAAAAAGCTGTTAAAGGAGAATGAGCGTTTGCAAAAGAAGGAACGACGGAGGAAGAATTTCCTGTTCACGGAAGCGGTGGGCGGTTTAGAACAATCGTGGACCTGGACGAAAGATTACAGTCCAAGGAAGAGTGGAGGTGGCTTTAAGGGAACATGCTTCAAGTTGGACACATGAAACAACCCTGCCCAGATGGAACCCATGGCATTGATGAAGATGCAATATTTGTTGTCGGAAACAATCGGATTGATGGGTGGCTAATTGATAGCGGTGCGACATCGCATATGACACCATACTGTGAAGACCTCTTTAATTTTGATGATACGATCATGGGCATCAATGTGACCATTGCAAATGGAAAGAAATAGCGTGTTCTTCATAAAGGTATTGGTATGGTTGCTGAGATATACGGTAAGCACATCAGGATGCTTGATGTTTTGCACATTCCAGGACTCGATAGACGGCCTGTTCTCGGTTGGAAAACTTGCACAACGTTGTTTACGTGTGAAGTTTCGGCAATGCTATGTGTTATCTGGACCAATAACAATGCCTTAGTTCCGGGCAAAAAGATCGACAAAACTTTCGTCCTTGATTGCAAGTTTGAAGAAGCGAGCCTTGTGGAATACGCCGGTGCTGACAATCAGTGGGAGCTGTGGTACGCGCGCATGGGACATTCAAGCGAGAGCGGTATGGTAAAATCAGCATGTCATGCATGGTATGCCAGCTTCACGCCGTGGCATTAAGAATGTATGTAGTGGATGTCTGTAGGGTAAGCAGACCGTATCGCCGTTTCCTTCACAATCTATATTCAAGACATCGCGTGTTTTGGCGTTAGTTCATACGGATGTGATGGGACCCATGCAAGCGGTATCGAAAGGAGGAGCAAGATATGTGCTTACATTTGATGATAATTTCTCACTTTTTGTGGTTGCTAAATTTCTGAAGAGTAAGAGTGAGGTCGCCTCGAAGCTCGCCGAATACAAGATCTTTCGAAAAACAATGGGGAAAGCAAATTAAATACATTCGCTCTGACAATTGTGCTGAATTCAAGGACAAGAAGGTCACAGTCTTGTGCCTCCGGGATTATATCATGCATCAGCGGACTGTACCTTATAGCCCGAACAAAACGGTGTAATGGAACGGATGATATGCACTGTCATGGAGGAGGCAAGGAGCATGCTTCATTACAAGGGCATGCCAATGATTTGGTGAGCGGAAGGGCGGGGGTTTCTGACATTCTCATACGCTGAAGCAATTGCAAGTGATGAAGCAGTGGTATGGCGAGCAGCAATATGGACATAACGGCACTTGGTCAATTGTATCAAGCGAAGCTGCTCGACCGATCGGATGTCGATAAATTTTCGCTAAGAGGCGCGATGAGAACGACCGAGTCATTTGCTACAAGGCACGGCTTGTCGCAAGGTGGTTTAAGCAGAAGTACGGTGTCGATTTCTTTGAATCGCCCCCCCCATTGCGAACATGAATTCGATTCGGTTTGTCTTGGCTTTTTACGTCGCAGACGGATATGAAATAGAACAGCTGGATGCTGAAACTGCGTTCTAAATAGTGAGCTAAGTGACCGAGTCTATATGGAGAGACCACCTGGAGCTAACACTACTGGAGATCATGTTTGTTTGCTAAATAATGCCATCTACGGGTTACGACAAGCAGCTTGCACCTGGATTAGAAAAAGTATGGAAACTTCGTTTCGAATGGTTTCAAGGGTTGTAGTGTGTATATGTATAGCTCTCTAAAAGTAGGCACATTTACGATTGCCTCTACGTGGACGATATGATGATTGCAGTAAAGACCCGTGCAGAGATTCGTGTAGTAAAAGATACCCTTAAGAGTGCTATCAAAATGAAGGAGCTTGCTGACGCAAAGTTCATTCTGGGGTTGGATACTGATTACAACAAGAGCGTCGGAACGCTTTTGATCATTGATGTTTACGATGTTACGCAGCGATTCGGTCAGCAGAACACCAAGACGCCCGAGAACTCATGCGCCTCTAATCTCAAACTTTCAAAGGACAGTCGCCAGGATAGGATGCAGAAGCTACTGAAATGCAGTCAAAGCCATATCGCTCTCTCATCGGCTGTCTTTTGTACATAGCAATATGTACTAAACCGTACATTGCCTACGTAGTTTCGCAGTTATCAACATCTCTCGAGAATCCTGGAATACAGCACTGGCGAGCCGCGATTTCTGTGCTTAGATACTTGAAGTCAACGCGCCTTCAAGGATTTGTGTATGAAGGAGGGAGTAGCAACATTATGGTTGAAGCATTCGCAGACGCAGACTGGGAAAGATAATTTGACGACAGACGATCTGTGATTGTCGAAATTGATAATGGACCGGTGGTGTTTGAGTCAATATTCCAACGAACTGTGGCACTGAGTTCAGCAGAAGCCGAGTACAGTGCACTGAGCCTGTACACCCAGGAACTTTGTGGACGCGCGCGATGTTGAAGGACATGGGCAAAGAATAGACTTATGCAACGCAAGTCTGGTAAGACAACCAAAGGACAACAGCACTGGCTCAGACGCGGGATTTCATACCAGACATCAAGCATCTCTTTACGTGCGGAAACGTTGAATACAGAACGATCCGAATCAACTACGTCGACACAAAGCATCATCTCGCGGACATGCTCACTAAGACACTAGGGTCTAAGACGCTCCAGTTCCTCCGCGGAAAGACAGGCATAAAAAAGCAAGAATCAAAGCAAGTTCGACATTAGCGGTGATTGGAGGTGCTGAGATACTCCGCTGATACATGCGTGGATGACGTCACAAGTATTGCGGTAATTTTTACAGTTACTATCCTGATGACGGTTACGGCCATAATTGTAGTCGTTCCTTGGTCTAGATAATTAAGACTGTTTGTAGAAGCCAACGGATAGGCTTTGATGTAGCACATGGTGGCGAACTGGGGACCTGGATATATTCACTATGATTTTTACCAACAAACCAACACATTATCGATAGCATGCAACTAGTAAAACCAATCTTGGTTTTGTACATCGTTAATGTTAAACTGCCCTCAAATTAATTGATGACATTCCGCCGTTGAAAACGCAATCGGTTCTTTAACTTTTGCTCCATGGCTTGAATATCAAAATCGTCAGAATCATCACTACGCATAAAATGCTTGAATTTTCTTTGATGCGAGCTTTTCAGCATAGAAGGAGGTTTGTGCCATAATGGAGGACTTATTTGCTCGAGAATGCGAAAGCGAATAGCACAAGAGTTGAGGTATTTAATGCAGTGTGAGGGTGTATGCCACGTTAAAGATCGTAATACACTGAGCTGATGCGTTAGAAAGATCTCATGTCGTTCCAAAGTAGCGATGACCAGACTTTGAGCGACGTTGCAAAAAAATGGATTAGAACTTGCATATCTCTTTCTTATCTTTAAGCAATTTAAAAGGACTGGAGCTTTAACGAATAACCTGGTGGCCACTGTTCCCAAGTAAAGTATTGATGTCGATGATGACGAAGAGAAAATGTGCTGATCTTTTTAGAACGTGATTGAGGATATGAGTGAAGCTTAATAATTCGTAAAGGATGCGTTTGACATAGTACACTTGAACGGTCTTTAACATAATCGATGCAAAGCAAGGCATACTCTGTATACGATGCTGATTAATTAACAGACTGATAAACGACCAACTAGTTTTTCTACTTGGAAGTATAGATTACCTCCCGTCCTGTCACTTCCTTCTCTGCTACTCGACGTCGCTCTGTTCAGGACTATCATTTAACACATGGTAATACTCTGGATCAGCTTCACGCAGTGCAAGTGTCTGTAGTCCACACTTTTCGATAAAGTCGTCACCGCTTTTCTAGCAGTCGTCCAGACTTGTTTCCCACGCAACAAATTCCATACCACACGGATCTGCCTTCTAGCAAAACCACATTCAGTATTAGGTGCTAGACACTTGCCTGTAGCCACGTCAAAGTGTGAGGGAAGACACACAGTTCCTTGCAATGCTAGGTCTTCACTTCGATTTTCACCAGGCCTCGACAGCTGGAAAGGGTCTAAAGAGCGACAGGTGTTTAGACTCGAAGATTGGAAGCTCGCCAGTCCATTCTTTCAATTTATTTTCGTCATCCAGTATATAATGCAGCTTATCACTAGCACGCAAACGCTCGAGTAACACACTTGAGTTGCCAGCTTTAAGTTCATCTGCTGGCGTCGACAAAGCGGCTACTGTAGTACCTTCGAACTCGAGCGAATCACCAGTTTTTGTTGTCACTTCCACTACCACTACATTGAATACAAAGCCACACTTTAAGATTGATACATTAATGCTGAATTCACTGGCTGCACTTACAGTCTGCTTGTGGTCGTACTCAGCGATTCCTTTAACGTGTAGCTTGGCAGTGCAACCAAAAATGGGCTCAAAAGCTTTTTGTTCATCAATTAGTGGCTGAACTCGCAGCACAGCTCATCGACACCACTGAATTTTGTGCATAGTCGAGTAGCTGACTATTTCTCTAAAAGCAGGATGCAACGAAGTATAAACATCTGTAAACTCTAGTCGAGTAGATTGTATCGATAGCAAAGCGATAGGTGCGGTTAGATTCGGTATGAAGCGATATAAGCGAAAAATCAAGTTCGACATGGTGAAGTAATTAATGACTAGATGATTGATGTAGCGTTCGTGAAATGGGAATCTATCTTAACATCAAAAATGTTGGCATTAGTTTATCAAGCTTGTACTGACGTTGTGTGTCTGGCGAAGATTGTTCTCTAACAATTTATACTTTGACCGCTTCATCTGTTCTGCCACTAATCGCAAACCGTCGGTGCCTTTGCATGACACGAGAGAACGCACTGCCAGATTCGATGGGAATTTCACTGGTTGAATGCCAAATCACACTGACAATTCGTGTTTCCATATCCTCAAAAGAAATAATACCACTTTATTCATATAGTGGCCAAAGGTGCTGTCCTGCCGTAAATTGCACAAAAATCTATACCACATAAGTATATCTTTTGAAAGCTTTAATAATTCTTCAAGTACGGTTGAACAGGCTTTGTCTTCGTCATCCAGTTGCCAATGAGACCACAACTTTCCGTTCATCAATAGGTCAAACGCTGTTTTAAGGGTCGTAAATTCTTCTGAATTCATGTCTGCGTAAGACGGCTTTCCAATCCATGATTGGAAAAGAGCGCATAACACATCATCTAGAACATTATTCGATTTCCGCAAGTTATATAGCTGGCTGGCCAATTTTATACTACTGCCTGTTTGCTTTTGTAGAAATTTCAGCAGAAATACACTGGGGTTGTCGCTCGAAAATTTCGCGTACTTTATCATTTTGCGAAAGCTTGCGCTTTTCAAAAAAGAGTTAATGTTTGACATAGTTATATGCCCCTTCAAACGCCACCCTTCTTGCAGACTTCGTAATAACAAGTTGTGCAGAGAATTGGGATGCTCATTTTTGCTGCTGCCCAACATGTACAATAGTTTGGCCCACATGACTTCATCTACAGAAAATTCTTTCAATTGTATCAGTCCGACCTTCGATGAGAAGGACGGACTTGTCAGAACGGCGATACAAACACTGGGCGTGTGTGCTGACTTTTCTGTCCGTAGAAGAATGTCAAACACCTTGGAAACTACAACGTTTACAGTTGTGTCTTGTTTTAG